TCCGTTTTTCTTTTTGCTGTTTCTCATTGATTTCCCCCCTTCTCGCTGTATTCAGTAAATCCTCGCAGATGAAGAAAAGGCCGACATCTGCAGTCGGATACAAACGACCCATCAGCCAGTATGCCAGGGTTGCCATAGCGATGGGCGCTCACTCCAGATACAGGGTAAGTGTGTGTGCATGTGAGTGGTTTTGTAGTGTGTCGGTTAAATAGAAAAAATTAGAGGTAACCACTTTAAATGCTGGTTCAGGACGTAGTGTCACAGATTTTGACCCAACACTCCTAGTTTCTGGTGCAGAAATTATTAAATTAATCTTTATATAAGGAATACTCCACCAAAAATATAGCTTTTTAGTTTGAAAACATTACCCCTTGTAGACTTGAAATGCGTTTTATTTAATTAGGAGTAGTATTTGATACTCACAATATACATTTTAATGGAATATTAATTTAATTTGTCCACTATTTAAACCACAAGGACATAATGACCTTGTGGTTGAAATGTCAGATAAATAAAGTAATTTTTTGCATCTTGTCTAAGAATGTGCAACCAATCTTTTCCTGTGTTGAGTGTTTCTCTAGCAAGAAGCACAGGACATAAGCAGCATTAAAACAGCTGCATGTGGTGGAAAGCAGTAATAAAAATTGGTTTTATGATGAGATTTAAAAACAAAGACAGTACAGGAAAAGCTTAATCACTCTTCCTTTTTAACCTGAACAGGTAAAGGACTCAAACTGGTGAGCCTGAAGGGCCTCTTAGGGCGATAAGGGGATAGAGGTTAACAAAGATACTACTACTTTTTAATACTTTTAATTTCTAAATGAGATTTGTAGCCGATGCAGGGAAGCCAGTATTGATCTGATGTGTGACAAACATTTGTAATGCCTGCAACACCTTTGAATTAACCTTCACTGGAGAGCAACGTTGAATTAAATAAGTGTGATGTGTGTGTGTGTGTGTGTGTGTGTGTGTGTGTATGTGCAGGCTGAAAACATCATGTTTCTGGAGCTTGACATGACTCCTCCAAACACCGCCTCACTGGACCGCTCAACGGAGGTGGAGCCGAACCAAAGTCACTCTCTCGACAATTCGCCCACCAAAGACAGAGGCGTCCGCAAGTCTCGATCCTGGTGAGCCTGAAACCCCAGACCAGAGCCTGACTGATGCATCAGCAGGCGGATAATATCCTCTAGTATTGGCTTATATCTCATTCAGTACTGCTGCATATGTTGGCAGATCTGTAGTAGAGAGAGTAGAGAAAGCCTAGTGCAGAAATGTATGTATGCTAAATTTTTTACACATATTTTTCGTAATTATTTTGTAGTTGTGTCTTTTAATCTTCTTTACTCTTCAAAATTGATTGTCGTGTTTGATACAGTATTATTCAACTGTGAAATATCCTGCTTCTGTACATGTCTTCATCACAGCTCTTTGCACTAATGACCACATTTGAGAGATCACGCGACATACAAATGGGCCGATATTATCTAATATATCCTGTTGGATAATATGTCAGCCGATAAGATACAAGAATTTGGAGAAGAGAAATACCAATGTTTATATATATATATATATATATATATATATATATATATATATTGTAAAGTAATATCAACTGTAATTGTAAGATATATGGGATGTATTTTTCTCTCAAATATCAATATTTGCATTGATATTAACCAGGTTTAAAAAAAATTTAATTCATCCATTATGTATATAATGTATGTACATATATAATATTATATACAGTATTGATATCAGTGTAGTGTTGACTTTATTTTGTCTGTGGGAAACTACTGGCCTGTATCTGACTACTGTAAATGGTTTAGAGTCAATTCATCTCTAAATGGGATTATTCAGGATTAGCCACACCCTCTCTAGGCAGTCCTAATCTGATGGTTTATCTCTGATTTGCTCAGCAGCCTGTAAACTCAATGTCGCTGGATAATCTTATTAACCTGTGACTAACTTGTATGTAACGGCAGAGATTATATTTTATTCATTTCTTGTTTTTTTTGCAGGTGCCAGAACCCAAAATCCATCACTTCCTCCTCTTCTAATGTTTCTTTGGCAGCTTGTCACACGGCCACACCCATGGCGGCACAGTAAAGCCTTCCAGTTTAGTGGAAGAGGAAGCGGAAGTGATCCTCTGATAACTCCTCAATGAGGCCTACGGCTGGCAACGACAAACACACACCACCACCTATGCTGAATCCTGAGAGGTGACAGAATACATTAGAGAGTAGCTAACCAGGAAGTGATTTTCTGACAGGAAACAAAATGACCCAATGAACCTCAGAAACTCTGTAAAACACCATTTCCTCCTGTTCTACAGCTGTAAAGACCCACCAGAACACCTTCTTCCTTGCATGTTTGAGACTATGAGCTTTGGGTCATCCTTTTAAACAAGTGGCTGCAGTGCTGTACTGCCCACACTGTGTGTGTGTGTGTGTGTGTGTGTGTGTGTTATCTGTATATAAAAGGCTGTATGATTGCCTGTTTGTGTTTCTAATTGTGACCAACGCAGATCTGAAAGCTCACAAACAGCTTGAATCGCCTGAAAGATATCAGTGTAGATATTTCATGTATTTTTGAGGGGGGTGGCAGGGGCTGTTTTCAGAGTAAAGGGGTGACAGTTGGCTAAGAAAGGAATTCATAGAGAGTTTATGTCCATGTTGGCTGTCACAGTAGAAAATAATCATGTAACATAATGATGTGTGCTGTTGTTGGTCAGATGAGGTACTCCTGAAACCTGAATGATGACCTTTATCATACCTGTTGTCCCGCATTATTCCTTTGTCCCTCCACGGTGTCTAATTTAAAAGCAGCGCCTTAAAATTAAAAATAGTGAGGCACACTTCCAAAAATAAATTAGGTATGAAAATTCATCCTAAGTCAGGGAAACTGGTGTAAAAAAGCTTAACTCAAGGTTATCTTACTAGTTTTTTCTGGAGCTGGATGAGAGATCAAATAAGATGGAAGAGCAACACATGTGGTTAAAAGCTCATAAAAAGCTAATAAGTAGATCATAAATTAACGTAAAATTCCAAAATGCTACTTATTATTTAACCATATGTTGCCAGTTCAAACTTAACAATGGCATTGTAATGACTACAAAACAATGATGATTTAAACACAGATAACTTTTTCCTTTTGTATGTTTGGGCACTTAGTTAAAATGTTTTTAAAAATTATGGACTCAGTGGGGAAGAAAACAGAAAATTTGTTCTTTTCATGAAAAGAAGAAGAAAAAAATCCACAAACAAAAATTATTTTTTTCTGAATTAATATGATACTTCAAAACATTTGAAAAAAACATGGTCACACACTCAAAGGTTTTCCTGCAGTTTAATTCAACAAAGTTTCATCAGACAAGCTCACTTCTTCAGGACATGACAGTGTACACACGCAGTTTATATAGGCTCAGTTCATCTGTAGCTCTATAAACAGTAAAACTAAATTTCAGTACACCTGTTCAAAGGTTGACTGTTGAAGTTGAAGTGTACCTTTTCTGGGCTGTTGTCTAGACCGCAGTCTGAAGTCGGGGTCACAGAGTTTGTTACCTGCTAGAGGTTAAGAGGAGCAGACAGTGGGGGCCATGCTGACTAATTATCACTATATTATTGATGCCAGAGATCCAGTTGCCGCTGAACCCCCTGCTAGGATTAAGAGAGAACAGAGCAGTCCTTTATTAGCATGGAGAAACAACATGTATTACCAGATCTATTTTGTTTTTGTTGTTTTTTTGTTTTTTTTTTACCAATCTTTACTTAATACATGAAATTGTCCCTCTTTGTATACAAAATGTTTTATAACCTAATCTTCAAACCATGTCACTGATAGTGTATCTGATAATGATAATTTACAAAAGTTCACTTAGATGTCAGGCCTGGATCATTTTAACGACATACCTTAGAGTTACTGCAACCTCCTCATCCTAGGGCAGCAAATAATTGTATTTTTATTATTATGGATGAATCTACTAACAATTCTTTTAATCAATTCATAATTTGATCAAGAAAATGTCCCAGAAGTTCCCAGAGTCCAAGGTGATGTCTTAATATTGCTTGTTTTGTCTGACACCCAAAGACTTCAAGGATATAAAACAGAGACAGCTAGCAGATCAAAATGCAAACTGTTTGATATTTTGATTGAAGAGGCTCTATTCGCACTCATTCCCAGCGTTAACAGTAGCCTACCAATATATAATAAGAGGGAAAGGGTTTAATGGCATAACTCTTTTTGTATGTTGTCAAATTAAAGTCAGATGCTGTTTTTAGTGAATTTAAAACCTGTGTTAACCTACTTCCTTCACTGTCTCAACCATTTCCAGATGCACACTGACTATTGTATGAGTTTAGTCATCAGTATATGGGTACACCTAGTTTGTTATTTAAAAACATATGTGGCTTTAAATGCTCTGAGGCTTTACAAAAACGGTTCATGCTGTATAATGGTGCTTAAAATACATGCAACTATACCTTTATTTGAAGTGAAAGATTCACCACAAATGGAAGGGTCTTACTATACGTTTAGTAGATATGTATAGAAAAGGATATTGTATTTATTTGGAATTGTTTTTCAGCATTAGAGGATTTATCAGGCCATATTTGAGGCTGCTGATCATCAGATAGAGACATTAAAATGTTGATATTCAAGTACAATTTTGAAAAAAATTGAGACGGCTCCTTTAAATGCTTATCTCAGTATGTAGTTTCATCAAACATCTCTACTGCCTAAAAATTTCCAGAAATTATGATCTCAATTTCAGGGCAGGCAGTGATGCAAGGAGGAATTGGATTAAATAATTTAGGAACAAAGGCATGATGAAAAACAAGCAGTTATTTCCAGTCTATGCTGCCTCTGAACATTGTTCATGTATAACATTTTTTCATATTAGTGAGTAAAATCATCCATGTACGTTTTCCATCAGTGTCAGGGCTGTAAAATTCTGTATAAATGTGTGTGTGAGGGGGCGGGGAGGAGGGAGGATGCTGATGGAAGAGAGGGGGTGGGTGCACGGATGGATGGATGCAGGGATCCAGAGACAATCAGGAAGTGAGGAACCACTGTGGAGGAGGTGGATACTGAGCCTGTTTCCATGGTAACCTGCCAGTAAAGGGTGTTGGGGATGGGGATGGGGGGTTTTGTGCATCTACATGTATGTATGTATGTAACATGGTGGGCCAGTTGGGCTGAGCTCATGGCTGACAAAAAAAAATCTAATAAAGACACTGTCACAGGAGTCTGCTGGTCACTCAGCCATGTTTAAATACCTCTAATCAATAGCTAAATATTTGCTTCAGGTTGTGTGTCTGTGTGTGTACACACAGTCTATGCATGTGTGAGAAAACCCTCAAGAGCAATCCTTTTAAATTTTATTTAATTTTATTAGGATTCACATTAGCTTCATTGGAGCAGAAGCTTTTCCTCCTGTGATCCACGTTACCTGCATCATTTATGAGACGATCCAAAATCACATAACCACACCACATACTTTCCAGCCAGACACAAAATCAATTCTGCAAAATAAATAAAATAAAATACACCAACTAGCTCTAAAACATAGTAGTTTAAGGAGGACCTTGTGTATAACTCAATACATTTCATACATGCACAAAAATTCTGCATTATCACTACTACTTCCTGTTTAAATTAAATTAAATTAATTTAGCACCAATTCATAACAAAAGTTATCTCATTTACCTTTTCATATAGAGCAAGTGTAGACTGTACTCTTTGTAATATTGACCTGACAAATGATCCCAAAACAGGAAGTAATTTAAAATGATCCCTTGCAAAGGCTCTATATATACACAGTCTGATACACACTCACAAATTGATTTACAATTACGTGGCTGTAGACATTTAGTGTTGTTGAAGATATAAAATGTATTTCAGTGTCAAAAAGCCCAACTTAATATCAAATTACTTGGTTCGTCTGACCAACAGTCAAAAAGCTACATATCAAATTATTCTGATTGTTTATTTGTGGAAAAATTGAACAATGGCTGTAAAAAATGTATGTGTTGGGTTGGAGAGGTGAAAAATATTTACTGCCAGTCAGTCAGTTAGTATTCATGAATTTTACTAGTCAGTCTGACACACACACACTTAGTAATCTTGGATTCGCACACTCAAGTTGGTGATTTATGAGCAATGTTCACTCACACAAACACACACATTTCACACAATCGGCTCTGGTGGTGACTCACACACACACATACACACACAGGTCAATAAATTCACTCATGCAATCTGAGTCTTATCAGCAGGTTGTTGACTCTTCTTCACCCCCGCCTGTTGACATTTAATATTTAATGACCAGAGAGCAGCTTTATTAGGACAGGTGGAGTACATTTTCAATCCAGCCACTCTCAAATTAAACATAGATTTAGCTCTGTTCATATTTACCATTACAAGTAAGAAATAAAATAATGAATCACAGTACAGAATCCTGCCTTGGACATGGAAGACTGTGTTTTGTTATTGGCCAAAAACACCTCACTGACATTGAACAGAATGCTGTTGTGGACCTCATTCCCTATTTAACTCCTCTCAGCACTGATCAGGCCTATTTATGCAGTTTATCTAATTAACAATCATTTTGATGCTTATTCCTGTTTTAATTTTTTGTGAATTCATGGGTCACCCGGCTTCTAGCAGGTTCTCTGTTTCTCTCTAATTTATCAGAGCCGGTGCAACTAAATGCTGCATTATCCCAGCGGGTAAAAGCCTGGTTGGTATTATTTTATGAGTAGCAATACTGATGAAAAGCAGCATGGCGGCTGACAGTCAGTTACTGACCGGGCTGATGCTGCCCTCTGCTGTATGAGGAAGATTGTGTAGCCTCTTTATTAGAGGAAAGGGAATACTGCTTATTTTCTGTCATACAATTAAGTGTATTTATTGACTAAAGAGCTCTAATGGACTGAAATTAACTTTTTCTTTTATATCGGTTGCTAAAATAAACTTGTCAGGTTCATGTGTTTATGATCCCAACTTCCACTGACAACACTGGACAGAAAAGGTGATGCTCCAGTAAGCTGTTCATGTAAATTAAGTAATTTCAATTCATCCATTTCAAGTCACAATTGCTGCCTCCAATC